ACGGCGATGAAGAACAAGGAGACTGAAAGAGAGGAAATGACTGTTGAGACCACCTAGTGAATGCTTGAACAGTACTTTCGATAGCTGTGAATAAGCATACCTCGTCGAGAGCGAGTACTTTTGGATGTATTCACTTGTAAATGCCTTGCGTTAGAATTATAACACAATGGTTAAAGTGTTCTTACCCGCAGAATGAAAAAATGATGCGAACTCGTGTTTTTGTGGTAGTTCTCAGCGTTTCTGTTTTTATCAGAAGACAGTAATTCGCACCAAAGTTTTCCGTCTGTTCCATGAGAGGTGGCCATGTTTAAAGAGAGGCACAAATTATTTCGGAGGCACGCCAGGGCGCAATGAAACATGTCGAATATCGCCAACTTTCTGATCTGAGTAACGTCCAGATAATGGAACTCCTCTTCAAGAAAATAGCTTTGTTCAGCTGCTCGGTCAGAAGGGCCCCAATCTTGGTCAGCACTTTTTATTCCTGGATCGAGGAGAATAAAATGGATGTTAACCAAATTGCTATTGCAATACTTAAACTGAGACAAGAACTCTCTGCATGTCTCTCCCTGGTGGAGTAAGGCTTCTTGCAGCATTTGACATCTGATAAATGTGTTCAGTTGTAACGCTATGTCCTTTTCTGTCTCCGAGAACGGAGACAGAAGAGGCAGCAATCTCCGGCGGCAATCTTCGGCAGCAATCTCCGACGCGATCGTTTTCTGATTCTCAAATAAATAAAACTCCACATCCGAATCGACCACATCGTGAGGCAAACGATTACAATTCTCTTTTGAAATTGTTATTTAACACGATGACAACCAGAACCCACGTTATAATATAAAAGTTATGATATGATCCGCTCAGGTGAGCTGCATGTGATGAAAGAAATTGTTAAAAAGAAGCCTGAGAAAAATTCGGGTTATCTAATTGTGTGAATTCTCAAAGGTCGATTTAAAATTTGGCCAAAAGTTCTTTTGAAACATTTTACTTCCTAATATAAATGTATTTCCACAGCCCCAATAGATATTTGTATGTATAATTTTGTGAAAACTGGAACTCTAAGTTTGAATGAAGTTGGAGACAAATTCTTCTTCAAAGGCGATGATGAAATATCTCGAATCAACTCTATTTAAAAAAAAAAGGTAACAAAACAACAACAAAAAAAACACTTAAAGCTCATAATTATTACAACTTCAAGTTAATAAATTGGCTAAGTAGCCATTGCTTGTTTTTACCAGGAAACTCTTTGAAGACCTTGAAAGGTTTTACCAATATACTACGAAAAACTCAGATAAATACAACAAATCGACAGAACCTTTCTTATTTGACTTACAGCAATTTCAGACACTTCGATTATGAAAAAAGGGCTTTTAGTTTGTTTTGACTAATTAGCAGATTTGTCACTTGTTTCCCTCGGAAAGCACTTAGTTGGAACCATGATGATTGCTACAAGGAGTGCATGTGGCTAAAACCGGTTTTGTTTAGTTTCTAAATGTTGAGAGCTTGAGAAAGCGAATGTGAATTAACTGAAAGGGAGAAGAGTTATTCTGAAATATCGTAGGTTTTAAATTATCGGCGAGGATTAAAAAAATCGGGGGTTACGTTGTCTTTTTTTTTTCAGCCATATTAGAAAAAAGCTTTAGTTTCATTTCCGCCACTTCAGCTGCCCGCGCCAGTTCAGCAAAAAAAGGGATAGAAATTCTCGATAAGGTTGTTGAAATACTTTAGTTTCTAATGACTGTAAATATATGGAAATCATGTATGTGCACTGCGGTAGAAGAAACGAATATAAGCGATCTTCGCAGTTATGAACACTACTGAGCTAGTATTTGAAATAAGGCCTGAAGGTTTATTTGGATCAAACATAATGACCAGCTCCCAGTTGGCTTGTAAGCTTTTTTTCAGGCCTTATTTCAACTACTAGTTTATTAGTTAGTTTCAGCAAGAAAATAATAATAATATAAAAAATCATTAACTTCTCTTTTGTCTAAGAAACAAGTTTACCCCCAGGACTTATGCCTCAATTTATAAAATGTCTGGTATTCTTGGAAAAATTCTGAAGCTAATAACTCAACAGGTTTAGCCACTATTGCCAAAAAAACTAGAATATTACAAAGGGAATAAAGACAATCTAACCTGAGAAAGATTTAGCTGCAAGAGATGTCAGGAGGAACAAATGGAAAATTGCGGACATGATGGCTTCTGCGCGATCGAATGATCCGCGGTCATTTGCTAGGAGTGAGTCTGACACTGTAAAGTGAAGTGAGTTTTCAGTTCTGTTTGTGATGAAAGATTTTTCCTGTGTGTCATACGTGAGGTAATTTATATGCTATTGGGCTGCTCGTGTCTTGATCCAATGGCTTGGTACACTTGGTAAGTGTCTCCAAACGCTATTGTCAGCTAGCAGAGTAAGATAAGTGCGACCTTTAATTTGCAAACTTAAGAAAGATTGTTTCATTAACTTGCTCGTGTGATCCAGGAGATCACAAATATACATAAAATCGCCCTTGATTTTGGAGTCTCAGAGACGAATTGCTTTAGAGCGAATTAACATATTATCCAATTTTTCGCAATTCAAATATTTGCAATAATTTCACGTTTTCCAAATTTTGGCCGCGGTCGCCTCAAACTAAAATCCCTTGACCAAAATTCCACTGATTGATCCATATGTCAATCACAAACCCATCTTGCTCTAGAAGAAATTGAAAAAAGTCTCGCGCGAATTGCTACACAAGAACGGATCCTTTTTTCCTCATGACCTTTATGCGTTGTGGTTGACGCTTGCGTTACTTTTGATGGCTTCGATACTTGCGATGGGAGGAGAATTTCTCGTTGAAACTATTTGTTCTCCAAATTGCTGCCAGTATAACCGTACTCAGGGTACGAATCACAGACATTTAGTAAAAGTGAAGCTCAGATGCGTTTCCCTCAAAAGAAAAAGGGTCTGATGAAAGAAGAAAATCCTGCCATCGCACGCCAAATACAAGCGGACTAAAGTATTTTTTTCCTAAAGAAATTTTATCCAGAGATATCTTGCATAACATGAC